TTCCTGCTCTACTTCCTTGGGTCACGTTTTTTGGGTTCCCCCCTATGGGGGTAAGCATTCAAAATGGACTCCCCTATAGGGTTTCGAATTTCTTATGATCTCCATCTCCTTGGATCAAGTTTTTGGGTTCCCCCTATGGGGGTAAGCATTCAAATGAACTCCCCCTATGGGACATGGTACTTTCTCTTAATACAGGTCTAAACAAGTGTGACGTCACCCCACCTGTGTTTACTCAGCAGTCAGTGACGTCACGTGATGACCTCACACAGACCAACAGGCTGAATCTTGTTGACCAAACATTAACTTAAAATGCTAGATAACACTAATACACAATATTTTCATTTATTTATTTATTATACAACCAATACACTTTATTTCATATGCATTTCATATACATCCAACAAACAAAATACAAATTAATTGAAAAAAGGTACAATTCATTGACTAAAATCAACATAGAGTAATTCTTTTTCTCTTGAAGAAATTCTGTGCATTTTGTTCTGGATCTTCTTCGTCGTCACCATCTCACTCCATACACATTTTCACTCTTAACCCAGGATAACCCAAATAATTCCTCATTTTCGTTAATGCCCACAACAATTCTTCTTGTTAACTTAAATGAAGTAACATAGGATAACACTAATATTTTCCATTTTAAAGTATTACATTTTCTTCATTACATGAATTCTCAGTATTACGCATTTCATATACAACATAGGGAAAACATTTCACATTTTCACTCTTAACCCAGGATAACCCAAATAATTCTTTAGTTTTTCGTTAATACCCACAACAATCCACAATTTCTCTACAAAATACAACAAAAGATTCTCTCCTCAAGTCTAAACATCTGCCGACTGGTGAATCTTATCTGACCGATCTCAGATAACATCTCAGGTCACTCCACCACTAAGTAACCTTCTCTCTCTCCTTACCCCTTCTCCCCACCCTCCAAACCCTCACTCTCCCACCAACATCTCACAACAAGATACAATTTTCACACATAACCCAAAATTTTTCTCGTTTTAACTAATTTCATCAGAAAAAGTCACCACAACACTTACAACTTATAACCACTTTTCGATAAATTCACTAGACACAATTTTACATATTACGAAGTTAATACCCACACACACACACACACACACACACACACACACACACACACACACACACACACACACACACACACACACACACACATACCTTATTCTCAATATCTCTTAAGAAATATTCTCTCATCAGCATCCTTTATCAACTCACTACAGAACAACCCTAGATTACTTCGAACACTCTCATAAATCATTTGAATACTCACAAAAGCACCTTTGTACATTTCCAAACAACACCAAAAACACCATCAATTACATTAGAACATTTCCAGACAACATTTTGATTATTCCCAAATAAGATTTGACATCTCTAATTTATCTATACTTACATATTTCATTAAATTTCATCTCATCCCCCAAACTCCTCCCTCATTCTCCAGATTTTTTACAACAGTATCACAAAAACTAACTCACACACTTATGTCATGAGACATTACCAACACTAACACATAGACACCACACTTTACTTTGAACACCTTCTAAACACTCTCATACATCATTTGAAGACCACCTTTTTCTCAATATCTCTTAAGAAGTATTCTCTCATCAACATCCTTTATCATCTTACTACAGAACAACCCTAGATTACTTCGAACACTCTCATAAATCATTTGAATACTCTTGCACATCATTTGAACACCTTCAAAAACACCTTTGAATAGTCTCAGACAACACTGAAACACTTCCAAGACAACATTTTGATTATTCCCAAATAAGATTTGACATCTCTAATTTATCTACACTTACATATTTCATTAAATTGCAACTCATCCGCCAAACTCCTCCCGCATTCTCCAGATTTTTACAAGATTAGCACAAAAACTAGCTCATACACTTATGAGTCATTACCAACACTAACACACACATGCACACACACACACACACACCACACTTTACTTGGAACACTACCATAAACACTCTCATATATCATTCGAACACCGCCAAATCACCACTGAATACTCCCAGAACACCTTCAGAAATACTCTTGCACATCATTTGAACACATTTAAAAACATCATCAAACTCTTTTGAATACCCCCATAACACCACTGAATACTACCAAAACACCACCACTGAATACTACAAAACACCACTGAATACTACCAAAACACCAATGAATACTGCCCAAACAGTACTGAAAATCACCAGAAACTAAGATCAACACTACCAGCTAATACCCATTTTATAGAAATCTCCACAAATTTTTTGTTAAATGTAATGCACATTCTTCCCTACACTCACTAAATTTCTAATAAAATCCATCTCCTCAAATCCACATAGTTTAATATTATACTCATAACCCACAATTTTTCTCATTTGAACTATTTCATCAGAAAAAGTCACCCGCATTTTCATTTTGACTCAGTAATATTCACAACATGTCACAAATTTTTAGAAAACACTCATTTTTATAAGTATATCACGAATACATCCAACTAAGATATGATATAAATCACATTTTAGCTACGGTGGCCCGGTGGCCTGGTGGCTAAAGCTCGCACTTCACACACGGAGGGCCCGGGTTCGATTCCCGGCGGGTGGAAACATTTCGACACGTTTCCTTACACCTGTTGTCCTGTTCACCTAGCAGCAAATAGGTACCTGGGTGTTAGTCGACTGGTGTGGGTCGCATCCTGGGGGACAAGATTAAGGACCCCAATGGAAATAAGTTAGACAGTCCTCGATGACGCACTGACTTTCTTGGGTTATCCTGGGTGGCTAACCCTCCGGGCTTAAAAGTCTGAACGAAATCTTATCTTATCTCTTATCTTATCATTCCCTCGATTTCGGTAATATGAACAAAATGTTTGGGATAACATTAGAACATTTCCAAAACACTTCCAAATTACATTGGAACACATTAAAAAATATATTGAAACACTTCCAAAATACATTAGAGCACTCCAGAATTACTTTGAACGACTACATTTTGGATATTTCCAAATTAGTTTTGGAGACTTTATCTTAAAATCGAACATTGTTTTCTTGTTGGTAAGCACACTCAATGGTAGAAATATTTACTCGATTTCCGGATAGAAACACAATCCTCGCTCTGAGAGACTCCTTGAGCTTATATGGCTTACCCCAAAGTATTGCGTTATGATTTTTGTACAACCCCCTCCGGTGATAATATCCTTACTGAACACTTGTGTCAACACAGGTAGGACAGATGGACGCCATGAAATGGTGTTCACACCCAAGGTGGAAAATCACATAGTCATTACGTATCTCCTTACAACACACCCGTGTCAACACAGGTCAGACAGAGAGAGACGCCATGAAATGGTGTTCACACCCAAGCTAGATTTATGATAATCATCTTCTTCCAGGCCAACTGTGTCCTCTTGTGCTAAAATTTGGTGAGGTCACAGGGCTGACTGACACCATGGAAGCACAACAGATATCTTCCAATTAATAACTTAAAAGCATATTCATACTGTGTCCTCTTATTAACTTAAATATCTTCCCATTATTAACTTAAAAGCATAATCATACTTTTCTTCTTCTTGTTAACTTAAACGAAGTAATCATGAATAAGAGATATAACATTTGTATTCTACCTCAATACTTTTTCAAAGTAAGGTTTCATTGATTTAAAATTCGTCATGTCTTAAAGTTTTTTATTAAACATTTCTCTTTTTAATGAATAAATCATCATATATTATTAATCTTGGTGTAACAACATGCTCTAAACATCATAAATCCTCCTCTTTAGGTCTTTTTCTTGTTCATCCAAGCCCCGTCACATCGGTACCTGTAAATGTTAATATTTTTTTTTATTTCATTAGCATATAATGGGGATAATTTTGGATCATCACCTGTAAAAGATATAAACCAACTAAAAGTTACATATTTTTTTTCACTATCCCAAACATATGTCTCTCAAGTATTATATCAGTATTCCTCTCATTAACTTAAATATCTTCCCATTATTAACTTAAAAGCATAATCATACTTTTCTTCTTGTTAACTTAAATGAAGTAAACATTCTCTATGGTAGAAATGATTGTTTGTGTTCAGGTAGAGAGAGAAGACGGAAATGGTAAGTAACACATTTCACGAAGAGGTAAATATGAGTTATATATTAGTTCAAATATATCTCTCTCTTCAAGTTAAAATTACTTCCTTATAATAATAATAATTTAAATGAATTAAACCACTGATACAAGGTAAATAATTTTGCTTACCTTATGAGGGATATCAAGCACTTCCTTCAATTCTAGAAGACAATAACTTCGAATCATCTTCTAATTTTTGACCTTGGTTAATGTTTTTCATTTCTTCTCTGACAACCATTGTTGTACGAATACCTTCTTCCTTAAATTTCATTATCATATCTTCGAGTATGGGATTATGATGTGTATTCCAGATATAATCATTTGAAGTTTCATACCTCCCAATACCTTTCAGAAAGATAACCTCTCTTATATTTTTATTGTCTTTCACACTTTTTATGACTCTCTCAATGGCTTCCTTGAAATATCTTATTCTGTCTGTGATAGTATCTCTCTTTAAACCATACACCAAATGAGAATCTCTTGATTTTTCAATTAAATTTTGAGAAATGGTATTTTCCTCCAATGGTCCAGCAGTACCAAATTGACTTATTATGGCTGCTAAATAAGGAAGATTCAATTTTCTTTGATCTGGTGAAGGTTCAAACTCGATAACAGTTCCAGGAGTATCACGATCTTCAACTCTGCATCTTCTCTGATTAAATAATGGTTCTCTACTCCGATACACATCAGCATAAGGATATTTCTTACCCAAATAATAATAATACTTGACGTGCTGTTGGAGTGTGAGCAAAGTAACATTTATGAAGGGGTTCAGGGAAACCGGCAGGCCGGACTTGAGTCCTGGAGATGGGAAGTACAGTGCCTGCACTCTGATGGAGGGGTGTTAATGTTGCAGTTTAAAAACTGTAGTGTAAAGCACCCTTCTGGCAAGACAGTGATGGAGTGAATGATGGTGAAAGTTTTTCTTTTTCGGGCCACCCTGCCTTGGTGGGAATCGGCCAGTGTGATAATAAAAAAATAAAAAAAATAACTTGCACCATATCCTTTTATAGCAACACAATTCGCATGAAAAATAATGAAGGCATTGTCACGACAATATTTTTCATCGTACAATTTTCCTTCTTCAATTTTAAAATATTTTTCCATCCTATTGTCTGTCTCCACTTTCTTGAGATGGTTAATCACTCCCTGGTGGAAGAGGTACTAATGTATGAACAACAAAGATCAGAGATGTTTATACTCATCACCATTCCTGCCAGATGTATGATCTCTATTCATTTGCCTAATAATGTTTAAGAGTAATGGTGAATAAAACAAAAAAAGTATTATAGAGATATTTTATTTGTCATATTTTACAATAATGACAACAATATTTCTACGACATTTTTTTAATTCCTTTGCAAAATCATGAACTTCCCCTTGTTATCTTAAATGAACTAAAAGTGTGCATGCCAATCACCTCCAGCTGAAGCACATCCAATTCCTTCTGGAAACACAACTTTTTCCATTATAATCCCATTGGGATCTGTTAATTACCACTTAACAAGATCATTCATGCACTCTTTGAATATAATCTCACGACCTTTCTTTGTATCTAAATATTTCCATGTATTGTAGTAGGTCTTATCAACTTTACAGTTCATATAAAACTTATGTGGAGGTCCCATTGCATACTGTGCCAACATATTGGCAATCATGGGGTTATTTTTTTCCATTATTTACAAATTTTATGCTCCCAAATTTATCATGAGTGACTTCACTAGCTAGATTTGCTTTATGAAATCCAGGTGATCTAAGTAAATTTGGATTTCTAAGTGGTAAAACCTGACTTAAAGCATCAGCAAGACCTCCGTTTTTCAATTTAACAGCACAACAATTTGCTTGTTGTACTAAAAGAATTTTATCACTGCCACTAAAATCTTTCATAATATTACCTTTCATTAACAAAAGATATTTTTCTTCATCTTTTGTTGATTCACTATGGTTATTCTCTGCTTCTTTACCTGTAATTTTGATAAAATATAGTATTATATCCCAAAAATTAACTTTGTTACTCAACAAATGAAAAAAAAAATATTTCTCATTAGAATTTCTAAAAATTACATTGTGGATGAATTTACTCAATAATATCTCATTAAAAACTCATGTTCAAAATCTTCCATTGCTGTCAGCATTTCTTTATGGGTGAGATACTGTTCAGTCACCTTCCTTCGTTTTGGAGGGTTGTGATCAAGGTTTTCTATGGAATTAATCATTTCTTTATCAGAGCAGTGATGTGTAGACACTTTTGCTTCTGTAACAAATTTTTTTCATATGTAACTTCCACTTATTAATTGAACTTTTCCTCTTGTTAACTTAAACACAAGATGATTCTAACACGAATTTTTTTTTAGACTATAACAAAAATCTCACTTGAATTTTTACAGTCAAGGGAACTTACGTAGATCTGAAGTCTCCATCTAAATACTCTCTTAACTCAATACACATGTGTCTTCTTATACTCTTTTCACCACGAGGGTTGTCGAGTTAGTAGTTTTTATAACTATATGTGTAGAGAAATTTGTTCCATGAAAAGCACTACATGGCATCACTATGACGATAGGTGAATGAACCGAGTTTAGTCACTCCATGACCTCTTGTTATCCTGTTTTAACGTGTTGATGGATAGTGACGCCACGCTTTTAGTTCATTTAAGCTAATAAGGGGACACAGTATGATTATGCTTTTAAGTTAATAATGGGAAGATGCTCAATCCTGTTTGGTGGAGCGTGATGTCACAAGCGAGTAGTAAGTGTTGCCAAAAAAAATATTGTCTGAATATTTCTTTTTACTGAAAAATAAGGAAAGTTAACAATGGCCAAACATATTAATTGAAATATATGATGGATAATATATATGCTTTGAAGAAATCTCCTGTAATGCGTATTTGTATTATTAAAAAAAATTATATTCGATGATGACAACGATTGAAATTTTTGGTATAAATATTTGGAGTGAAATGGTAAGGAATCACTTGAGAAGAAGAAGAAATATGGAGGTGGTTGTGACAAAACATACTAGTGTGGTGTTTATAGAAATGTTATATACAATTAAGAGAGTTGAACCCATTCAAAAAAGAGTTGACGCAGAACATGTTCTCTCAAAAGAAGAGATTGTAGCTGAGGTACAAGAAAGGACTCAACGATGGAGTGAAGAAATATTGGAAAATTTATTGTTACAAGGATGTGAATGGAGTAGTCATTTATCTCAAACTTTTATTATACCAAAGCCCAAAAAATTAATTACGAAAATGGATTTTGAAATGGCTGATCCTAGTTTAGGTAAGTTTAATCATAATGAAATTTTCATTTAATACTATTTAGCAACTCTTTATGTGTATGGGAGAGTTGTGTGTAAGTCACCTCCAGACATTGTCAGGGAACCGCATGGAAAGCATCTAATATGGGGAAACTTGGTGATTTCATTGTTATTTATGAAACAGTGAAAGATCTTCCTTGGCTGGAATTTTACAACACTGTCAATCAACTCTTAAGGAAAGATGGTGAATCATTGAGTGAAAAGAATTTTCAACGAGTTAAAAATTGGTTAGAAAATGAACTTGATTTGCATGAATTTATTGATGAAATGGTAACAGAGTGGAGTGACGATCTGGTATATTATATTTTGGAAAACAATATATCTGACAACTTTGTCAGTCAAATATTTAATGGACAGTATAATCTGCGCATTTTGCATAGATGGTACAACACAAAGAAGTGGAAATTAATTTGGAGAGAACTTTTCACAGATATTAAACAATATATTAAAATCATTGAACCTAAAGGGTGAGTAACTTACAAGGTAAGCAAAATTATTTACCTTGTATCAGCGGTTTAATTCATTTAAATTATTATTATTTTGAGGAAGTAATTATGACTTGAAGAGAGAGATATATTTGAACTTACATATAACTCATATTTACCTCTTCGTGAAATGTGTTACTTACCATTTCGGTCTTCTCTCTCTACCTGAACACTAACAATCATTTCTACCATAGAGAATGTTTACTTCATTCAAGTTAACAAGAAGAAAAGTATGATTATGCTTTTAAGTTAACAATGGGAAGATATTTAAGTTAATGAGAGGAATACTGATATAATACTTGAGAGACATATGTTTGGGATAGTGAAAAAAAAATATGTAACTTTTAGTTGGTTTATATCTTTTACAGGTGATGATGCAAAATTCTCCCCATTATATGCTAATGAAATAAAAAAATATATTAACATTTACAGGTACCGATGTGATGGGACTTGGAAGAACAAGAAAAAGACCTAAAGAGGAGGATTTATGATGTTTAGAGTGTGCTGTTACACCAAGATTAATAATGTATGATGATTCATTCATTAAAAAGAGAAATGTTTAATATTTTTTTTAAGACATGATGAATTTTAAATCAATGAAACCTTACCATGAAAAAAGTATTGAGGTAGAATACAAATGTTATATCTCTTATTCATGATTACTTCATTTAATTAAGTTAACAAGAAGAAGAAAAGTATAATTATGCTTTTAAGTTAATAATGGGAAGATATCTGTTGTGCTTCCATGCACACTTTTAGTTCATTTAAGTTAATTTCATGGTGTCTATCAGCCCTGTGACCTCACCAAATTTTAGCACAAGAGGACACAGTTGGCCTGGAAAGAGATGATTATCATAAATCTAGCTTGGGTGTGAACACCATTTCATAGCGTCTCTCTGTCTGACCTGTGTTGACACGGGTGTGTTGTAAGGAGATACGTAATGACTATGTGATTTTCTACCTTGGGTGTGAACACCATTTAATGGCATCCATCTGTCCTACCTGTGTTGACACAGGTGTGTAGTAAGGAGATACGTAATGACTATGTGAATTTCTACCTTGGGTGTGAACATTTCATGGCATCCATCTGTCTGACCTGTGTTGACACAAGTGTTCAGTAAGGAGATTATCGCCAGAGGGGGTTGTACAAAAATCATAACGCAATACTTTGGGGTAAGCCATGTAAGCTCAAGGAGTCTCTCAGAGCGAGGATTGTGTTTCTATCCGGAAATCGAGTAAATATTTCTACCATTGAGTGTGCTTACCAACATAAAAACAATGTTCGATTTTAAGATAAAGTCTCCAAAACTAATTTGGAAATATCCAAAATAAAGTCGTTCAATGTAATTCTGGAGTACTCTAATGTATTTTGGAAGTGTTCCAATATATTTTTGAATGTGTTCCAACGTAATTTGGAAGTGTTTTGGAAATGTTCTAATGTTATCCCAAACAAATTGTTCATATTACCGAAATCGAGGGAATGTGGCTAAAATGTGATTTATATCATATCTTAGTTGGATGTGTTCATGATATATTTTTAAAAATGAGTGTTTTCTAAAAAATTGTGACATGTTGTGAATATTACTGAGTCAAAATGAAAATGCGGGTGACTTTTTCTTTATTTATTTTATTTATTTATTTATTTCCAATTTGAGCACACATACAGAGGTACAAAAAAATACAGATAAGAGCAGCATGCCAAAGCCACTTATACTATGCATAGCATTACAGGCTAGCTTAAAATTAACTTAAGATTAACTAAGCAATGATGAAATCAGTGATAAAACATTAATGTAAACAGATTACTATAAAGCACAAGTGAGTATTACAAAGACAGGTCTATGGTTCATTCTTAGGTAGTGATTCTGTTAGTAGTGTATTTAAATAATTAATAATTGAATGTTTTAGGTTTAACATTTAATGTATATAATTATGAAACATTAAGATATCAGATTTGTAAGTGTTCATTATTCAGTATTTATTGGTTTTGGGGTGAGTAGTGATCTTTGAGAAGAGACTTGAATTTATAAACAGGTAGTGTTTCTTTTATATTTACAGGTAATGAATTCCAGATTTAAGGGCCTTTTATGTGCATTGAGTTTTTGCATAGTTAAAATGAGAAAAATTGTGGGTTATGAGTATAATATTAAACTATGTGGATTTGAGGAGATGGATTTTATTATAAATTTAGTGAGTGTAGGGAGGAATGTGCATTACATTTAAAAAAAAATTTGCGGGGATTTCTATAAAATGGGTATTAGCTGGTAGTGTTGATCTTAGTTTCTGGTGATTTTCAGTACTGTTTGGGCAGTATTCATTGGTGTTTTGGTAGTATTCAGTGGTGTTTTGTAGTATTCAGTGGTGGTGTTTTGGTAGTATTCAGTGGTGTTATGGGGGTATTCAAAGGAATTTGATGATGTTTTTAAATGTGTTCAAATGATGTTTTTGGAGTATTCATAGGTAAATGATGATCTTAGTTTATGGTGATTGTGGTGGTGTTTTGACTGTATTCAGTGGTGTTTTAGTAGTATTCAGTGGTGTATTTGGGAGTATTCAAAGGAGTTTGATGATGTTTTTGATGGTGTTCAAATGATGTGCAAGAGTATTTTTGAAGGTGTTCTGGGAGTATTCAGTGGTGATTTGGCGGTGTTCGAATGATATATGAGAGTGTTTATGGTAGTGTTCAAAGTAAAGTGTGGTATGTGTGTGTGTGTGTGTGTGTGTGTGTGTGTTAGTGTTGGTAATAACTCATAAGTGTATGAGCTAGTTTTTGTGCTAATCTTGTAAAAATCTGGAGAATGCGGGAGGAGTTTGGTGGATGAGTTGTAATTTTATGAAATATGTAAGTGTAGATAAATTAGAGATGTCAAATCTTATTTAGGAATAATCAAAATGTTGTCTTGGAAATGTTCTAATGTAATTGATGGTGTTTTTGGTGTTGTTTGGAAATGTACAAAGGTGCTTTTGTGAGTATTCAAATGATTTATGAGAGTGTTTTTCGAAGTAATCTAGGTTGTTCTGTAGTGAGTTGTTTAAAGGATGCGATGAGAGAATATTTCTTAAGAGATATTGAAAATAAGGTATGTTGTGTGTGTGTGTGGTGTGTGTGTGTTTTGGGTATTAACTTCGTAATATTAAAATTGTGTCTAGTGAATTTATCGAAAAGTGTTATAAGTTGTAAGTGTTGTGGTGACTTTTTCTGATGAAATTAGTTAAAACAGAAAAATTTTGGGTTTGTTGTGAAAATTGTATCTTGTTGTGAGATGTTGGTGGGAGAGTGAGGGTTTGGAGGGGGGGGAGAAGGGGTAAGGAGAGAGAGAGGGTTACTTAGTGGGGAAGTGACCTGAGATGTTATCTGAGATCGGTCAGATAAGATTCACCAGTCGGCAGATGTTTAGACTTGAGGAGAGAATCTTTTGTTGTATTTTGTAAAGAAATTGTGGATTGTTGT